CGGCCCGGCCGTAGCGGCCTCAGGGCAGCCGAGTCCTTCCCGCGGCCAAAAGCGCCGGCCACTTGTTTTCATCTAGTTTTAAGGAAAGCTGACATCCACACCTACTCCTATGGCTGAGGAAAATAATGCTTTAAAATAAATACCTCAGATTAATCAAAATTTTGATTAAAGTCAAAGGCACTGGCCGCAACACTCACATCGAGGCGTTTTCGGGCATTACAAAAACTTATTCCTTACATTTTTAAGTGAGCTGTTAACAGATCTTTGGAGAAATTTATTTAAATGTCTCATATCCACTTGTTCTTTATTTTAATTCGTTTCCAGATAATCCATTTCCACTGCACTTGGCATCACTGCTGTCAACAAAAGCTTTAACATGAGCAATAAAGCATGTGAATTCAGTGTTAAGTGCAAAGGCTGATGCTAATTGCTAATTCTATGACTCTTAAGACTGGCTTAGTATTACGCTTACTTATTTTGCTGGGTCTCAAAACTCAGAAGCTGAGACAGGATTCTCCAGCGTATGAACCTCTCTTCTCCTCAGCCTTCCTTCCCAGGCATCACAGATGCAGCTTTTTCCTTAACACCTCACTACTTTTTCTTACTGTAGTATTTTCTCTATGTAAATTGGGAAGATATTCCAAAGTATCTACTCTGCTCTTAAGTAGAGTGAAGCCTGCAGGCAACCACACGTACCATCCGGCCGCAGACGCACTGGATCTTTGCTCTCCCAGGTCACACCAGGAACGCCAGTGAAGCTCCTCCGTTTATTCCTGAAGCTCAGAAAACTCTTCAGATACAGCTGAAATAAAGCCAAACCAGGCTGTGCGTGACATCAGGAATTGCGTGTAACATTAGGACTTGTGTGTAAATTCTACAGAAGTGTCTCTGACAAAACTATATAATTTGCTACTATGAAATAAAGGAAATATCAAAAATTGTTCACCGACTGTACTTAGCTCTGGTGAATGTGTTAGCCCTAAACACAACAAAATTGTAGAAAAAAAAGAAATTAAGCAATACTAGTGATAAAAGAATTGGATAATGAGTAATCATAGCTTTCCTCCCAGGAACTGCTTTTAACACAATTTAGAGAGGCAGGGTTTCATTGGTACACTTACAAAACAAAAAAGATTTAAGTTGAGAAATCTCTGATGAATTCAGTCTTCTTTTGCTTTACACTTAATAGCTTTGAAGTAGAAAACATTCTGTACAATAAAAAAATATAAATGTGCATATTTGTAATATAAAAACTGGAATATTGACTATTCCCAAAAGCATACAGCTCTGTTGAAAAGCAGTCACCGTCTTTTTCAGCAAAGTTTAGCATGGACCAAAGCCTCCATAAAAGGAGGAACTGCCAAATTAAGTATGGGAATTTGGAATCAGGGTATATATGATGAAGAGGACTACTCTAGGCACAAGCAAGTGTAGAAAGAACAGCATACAACAGTCTTGTTTTTCCACGCTCCTACAGTCACTTCCTAGCAGTCATTCGTTTGTATTTTCCTTCACCTCTTCAAAAATAACCAAGAACCACAATCTGACGCCTAACAAAGTAGCAAAATTGGCTCTAGAAGCACTAGACCCTGTAAAATTGCTCCACTGGAAATTTCCCCAGGTACTTCTGATGTCCATAACAAAAGATGTAACTGGTTTGAGTGGCTCTGTTGCTGCCTCCGCAGGTTATATTCCTTTTTCTCTTATCTGGCAAGCAGTATTTCAGGGATCAATAGCTGCTAAAGCGATGCTTAGAGCTGTACATGCTTTGTTCTTTAATCTACTCAGTCTCTAGCCAATGCAAACTAGCAAAACTGTTCTTTTCCCTATTGTGCTCTACCCAAGTGCCAAGGGGAACTGAGACAATGGGGGAGAGCAAAGAAACTGGGTAGGGGTGGTAAGTGCAACAAAAATTAGAACAGAAGGTCTACACAGCAATGGTTCTAAGTACATATGAAAAATATTCAAAAAGGTATTGGCTCTGCATAGCTAAGAGAGATAAAAGTAGAGATCTTAAAACAGGAAATTTCCTGGTTTAAAGGCTGAGACCGTCAAACTGCTCTTTAGTTTACAGGCACTTTAACTCAACTCATATAAATGTATATTAACTCGAAAATTTGTATCTTCAACAGGAAATAAAAAGCTCAAAAGAACTTTTATAATTCACTATTTTGTCACCCTAATAGTACTTGATAATTGTCAAGTAAAATTACAATTTCAAATAAACTTTTCTTTAAAGGTCTGAGTAAACAAGTTATAAAACAATGTATGAAATGCTCAAGAACAAAGGGAAAATGATCTTTATAATGACTATTTTCCTCTAAAAAGTTACATACTCCTGAATGACACTTATGCTTCACATTTTAGAGAACATGTCTTACACTGTACATTTCTTACATACAATATACCTGATAACATTTCAGCTTTGTCTTAAATTGGAAGAAGGTGGTTTAAACAGCAGTGGTCTTGGTTTAGGGAACGACAACATAAAGGCCTCTTTCACAACAAGTGGTTGTATTTATGGTAAAATACAAATAAATCATCCACCCAGAAGTTCGTAAACACAGACCCACATTATCTAGGAATGCTAGCCTCTATTCATTTGTTTGTCTCCTGAAGTTCGCAATAGTAGTAGTTTCTTTTTCCGATAGTCTTCATTCTCCTTCTCTGCTTCTTCATCTAGTGATTTTCTTATACATGTTTTTAGTTCCTCAATTCCTTCTCCAGTACATGTTGATACGGGAATTATATCTTTGAACTTGATTGTACTCTCAGGAATCACATCTTCCTGTAGTAAGTGCAAGAAGTCTGAAACAGTATATTGAAAGAGTTAGTAAAAAAATCCATATAATGTATTACTATAAAGCCCATAAAATCCCATTCCATTTGGAAAATCAACTTCAATAAATGACAATAATAATAAACATTACTGGAATCCGTATAGAATAGAAGTATTATTTTGTCTTTAAAAAATTGCTAAGAAAGTCTCAGAAGACAAGTACTAGCATAGCAGTTGCATTATACTGTACTTACACCCTTCCTCTAAGATGGATGCAAAGAAATCTCAGGTTGCAGATATGGGAGACAGATTTTTTTTAAAGCATTCCTATTTCTAATCTGCTCCAGGAAATAGGAAGGACTTCACCTCAGTAAACCTACATAGCGCTGCCCAAAATTTTCATATGTTTGTGCCACAGTCTTCACGTGATAAATTTTATATACATCAGTGCCTGTAAGGGAACCACCAAAGCAAGAGGTTACTGTTATCTGAGGTATCTGGACTCTCCCATATCATAGCTGGGAAAGATCTTCCAGGATCGATTTTCTTTAAAATACATCCCCAGCAGTGAAGCCAGCACTAAAGAGGCAAATAAACAGATTTCTAAATGCAGAAACTGGCTTTAAGGAATATATTCAAATAATAAACTTAGTAGTTGACTTGAATTTAATTCAATTTCAAACACCTCCTTGCCAATGCCCCGAGAGTTACCCTTCATGAAAGCTTACTACTACTTCTGTCCAAGCTAATTTTTTCAAGTTAATTTACCTTGAGGATTCTGTAGTTGCTTCATAAGTTCATTCAAGTTATCCTTTGCATTAGGCAAATCCATTTTATTAATGGCAAGTAGTGCAGGCTTTGTTAGAAGTTCTTCTTTGTACAGTTCCAACTCCTTAAGAGACAAGTGAATTTTATTTAGTGAGTATTTGTAGTTTAACAAGTGCTACTTCAATTTTACCCCTTGTATCTTAATCGTTTAATTGTCTAAATAGTACCCATGGCTAGGCACCTGGGAGGTATACTGAGTTGCTCAGGGCTGGTATATTAAAGCAGTCTGACAGAGGAAAACAACATTAACAAATACTCAGTGATTGCTTGCTCAAACACAGATGTTCCGTGTAAGCAGCCTGGATGGTTCCGAAACGTCCTCCTACAAAAGCAGGACGGTTTTGTTCTCTTTTTTTCCTGATACTTATATAAGCTCATACACAAAAACAAATTGTTCAGAAAAAGTTCAGACTTATTAGCAAAGTCTTTGGACAGTTTTCCGATTCTTAAGCATTTTAAAGCTTTATATCAGACACAAAAGCACTGGCATGAACCAGCTGAAAATAAACACAGATGAGAAGATTCATTATGTAAAGTCACAGAACAAGGGAAAGAAGAGCTGCTGGACTTTATGCAAAATGATTGTTCTAATCAGAAACAATGACAAGAGATGGAAATAATGAAACTTTGTAAACCTTGGGCCTAATGTCTCTTCCGGGCCTTGATCTGTCCTAGTATATGCAGTAAGGGCATTGAGGCCGGGATTTAACTATACCCATGTGTTTCTACTTCCTAAAAGGCTTTAAAACTGGGGATCTGAAAAGGTGTGTCTTTTTACTTTAGCTTGAGTGCGAGAAATACCTCCTTTCAAATGCTGTACAGATTAATGAAGAAACAGTTATGCCTAATATAAAGCAGAGCAACTCCAATAGGACCGTTAAAATAAAGGTTTCGTCATTCCAGAGAATTTTGAACTTGTTAATCGGCCTCATAAATCCAACAATCACATTAACATTTGAAATCTCTTGACCAAAACTTTATATTCCCCTTTCTTGGCTCAGTACGCAACTACAACCGACAATGAGGAAGATGAGAAGTACCTTTGTTAGAAGCAGTATAGTTTCAAAGGCTGTTCTGAATCGAGTCTTGAAAGATAGCTGAAATCCAGATACATCAACCTGAAAAAGTTACACGACAATAAGTTTTGTAGTATAAGATTATGTTACAATACCAAGCTACTCTGCATCAACTACTTTGCAGTAAAATGTCCATGGCCATGCACTAATTTCTAGGCAAACAAGAGGGTTACCTATACACCAAAATAAAATCACACAAACTGGTGACACAAAGTGATTGGTTTTGGTAGCATGTTTCCCAAAGTGGTGATTTTTAAACCTCTTTTGTAAGGGGATCTAACTGATTAAAAAAAAAAAAAACACCTTAAAAATCATGCCTTAGCTGTGCTTGGAACACTTCCCTGTTCTAAATTACTTGGCAAACTTAACAATAAATTCTAATTAAGGACTGAATTTATCATTAGTCATTTGATCTTTCCATTCTAAAAATAGCATTATAGCTATTCTTGGTTATCATAAAATGTGCAAATTGCAATCATGATTTCCCAAATTCCAAATATACTGCAATTAAAATGTATCTTATTTAATGCATTGCCTTTGATTTCAGTAAGCTCTAAATTTTATTTAACTTACAACTAAGAGAAGCTGTTTGGTTCTTTCTACATGTTTGAGGAATTTGTGGCCCATCCCTTTGTTTGCATGTGCACCCTCAATCAGTCCGGGGAGATCAGCTACTGAAATCTAGAAAAACAGAAATTTCAAATGAAAGATTTCCATTAAGAAAAAAACGGTGGTTTTGGACTATCAATACCTCCTATGATTTCATATAGACAAAAGAACCCAAAGAAGTATCAGAAATACTTATTTAGAGAAACTTCTTTCACAACTATGGATTCCTTGAAATTGTACAGGGGACCAGTGCTCTGGCAGTACGTATTGGCTGTTTCAATACATCTAAAATCTATTATCAGAGGCGGGTTTAAACAAAATGCTGGTATTACACAGCTATTGCTCATCTTCCCCCGTCTATTTATTTATAGCTATCTGCCAACTAGAAAATGAAGGATAATAATACCTTAGGCAAGATCTCCCAGAAGTTACTTGTTACCTGAGAACAGAACAGACACTGGAGACAGGAAGACTAGGCTATCAAGTCTGTATAGAAATCAAACTGTCACGGGCAAAGAAAATGAAATCTGTTCCTTGTAGCTATAGAGAATCATTTTGCCAACTGCAAACCCATGTAACACTGTTCCCCCAAGCACGAGCAACTCCAAGACTTTCTCTTCTCCTTTTAAACGAAAATTAGATTTTGATTGGTGTACCAGCTGCCAACCATAGCCCAATAGGAACTGTCAAAATGGACAAGAATCTTGTTATTTTCTCTGCTGGCTGGGAGCACTGTATGGAGTGGTGAGGGAAGCCTAAGAGAGATGGAAGAAGAGCAGAATAATAATAAAAAAAATCCAAAAGTGTACTCAATAACTCACAGAAAGCTATGACAGAGATGGAAGCAAAGAAAGGCTTTAAATCTATCTGATATCCATTTAGACATCAACTGGACTCGAGTAAGCTGGGCCCATAGCCAGCACACAATAAAGTTTCCAGTGTGGCGCCTACTGTAGGATGGGACCTTCTGCTAAACTACTGCTCCATATCTTGCTGACGAGTTTTTCTTCCACTCACCTGCCAAACTAGCTTTTGACCATTATGCTTTTCCTATATATTTCAAGCCTTGCCTCTGAATTTTTGACTTACAGAGACATAAGATACAGGTGGGTGAAACACAGACTTGCAACTAGAAACAGGCTAGAGTTAGAACAGAAACATCCTCTTCCAGGTGTGATGTGTTTGGGTGGTGTAGTAGAATCACGACCAACTTTATTCTCACTTTAGCTGTCTTTCAAAGAAGAAATATTTTAAACAGAGCTTATAAAGAACTTCAGATTCTCCCAAAACACTTTGTTCACCTATTTTGGTAGAAGATATAAGTGGATCTGCCAGTTTCCACAATCTGATGCTAAGATCTGTACCCAGACTTCTATTCACACCCTTTACTTTTGTGTCTTTGTATCTCAAAGTCTTTTTTTGCAAGTAGCAGATAATGACTCAAATGGCAACAGATAACTTGCATGTATTTTGTCCTTTATAGCATACTCTGATAAAACAAGCCAATTTCTACGTATTTTCTTAAATATGTCAATGTTCTGTAGCAAAAAGAGATATAATTAGGAATAAGTAGATGAGCCTGTTGAGCGCAGTACAGAACAGTCACCTTAATTATTGCTCATAATTGCTCTTTTTTTTGTTTTCAGCAGTTGCCATACTGAGATCTGAAGTACCTCCTCTTACTCAGATGCTTATTTTAATGACAGTCGCAACCTCCCTGGACTTTAGGACGGTACTTAAAGTTTTCATACAGCACCCAGCATAGTAGTATAAAAACAAGTATAAATACCAAATTCTGCATTTTAAATTTTCTGAACCTTTAATCATGACCCAAAGCATCACTTGCAGGGAATATGGGGAAAGGGAAGCTGGATGCAAAAGCATACAGTATTGATATCTTCACCTATTTAAGTAAATGCAGATGTCAAGCATCATCTACTGAATCCCTTAAGATCATCGATTCTGAGAGGGAAAAGAGTTTTCTGTCTTTTCACATCTGAAGTATGCTTTTCTGGTTAACTCATCTGCAACCCTTTCATGCATTTGCCTTTTATCTTGGAAGAGATGAGCCCACAAATACTTAAAAAAAAAACAAAACAGAAATACATCAAAGAAGATTCAAGCTTGAGGAATCGAAATGTTTGCTCTAGCCCTAAATAAACCTGGGGCCCAATTCTGTACCAAAATCTACTTGCAAGGAAACCGTTAAGAGTCTCACTTTGGATTGGGCAACCCCCCCGCCCAGTGCATGCTGTAGAAAGGACTCCAAGCACCACAGAACTATTTGTTAAATTTATCTGAAGAATCTGATTAGACTTGGGTTGACAAAAAGCAAGGTGGTGGGGCACTAGTACCACCAGCCTTTCTAAGCTACAGCCTACCACAAAAGGAAGTGGACTCAGGTAGTGCACTATCCTGGCTGTTGGGGCAATCACCCACACTTCATACTATTTCATTTTATTCTTTTAACTTAAAACAAACAAACAAAAAAAAAATCAGAGTAGCCTATCCACAAAGCCAGAACAGTAAATTATGGCAACTTAGCTATATTTGCTATATTCCTCTTCACTCACTGGTATGGACCTGCAGCAATTGGATAAACTTCCATAAAATCCATGTAATTGTATTATATATGTATGCATGATATATACATATGAAACAACACAGGTAGGAAGTTTCCTTTTTCTTTCTGAAATGACGTTGAACGACATAGCATGCCATTATATACACCCGTAATGAACAAACAGTTTCAACTTTCATACCAACCTGCTTATAATCTGCATACATGATCTTTCCTAGTTCAGGCTTTATTGTTGTAACTATAGCAAGGGGAAAAAAAAAAAGAGGAGGGGAAGGAAACAAAAGTGTTTGAAACATTTTAAAACAGAAAACGCTTAAGTGCAGCAGAACTTTCTCACTTCCTATTTATATAAAACAAGACTTCCCATAGCAAAATAAATAAATAAATAAAAAGGCAAATGGAACAAATCAAAAGCAAGACAAGGGAGAATACCATTAGACCACTCAGTAAAACAATGTTTCGTCAAATCTTGGCACCGTGTGCAGTTCTGTTTGTTCCCTTCATCCCAGTAAAGGAAATAGAGGAGCCAGAAAAGACAGATACAGAAAGGATGATCCAAAGTACAGAATGATTTCCAGCTAAGGAAAAGCAAAGCAAGCTAGGACTTGCCTCTGCAGAAGAGACACCTGAGGAAGAATACCAAAAGCTGCACAGACGCATGAGTGGCAGGAGAAGATGAACAGGAGTTATTACCTCTTCTAGCATAAGCATTAAGGGCCATCACTAAAACTATGTGGTGGCAAATTCAAAACAAACAAAAGGATGTAGCCTTCAAACAACATATCTAGCTATCGAACCCCCTGCCATAAGACGTGTGGATGCTGAAAAACTTAATTACTTATGGGGAGACTGGACAAGTACACTGAAGATCATTGAATACATAAAAACCATGTCTGGCTGAGGACAGAAACTCAAATGGTTTAGCCTGGATGCCGACAGAGAGGACGTATCTCATATATTTGCTATGTTCTTATACTCCTCCCCAGTCACCTACTTCTGGGGCCTCTCAGATGTAGATACTGGGCAGATGACTGTCTCCTCCAGCTTCATCTGGTTATAATTTCTTTACATTTCTACCTGCAATATTTCTATTGTCCTAATTACCAGAAAATTTGAGACTTGGTACCAATAGGTTCAAGCTCTATGGGGTGATGCATGATGCACATAAAAAACTGACGTGACAGAAGGAACTGGATACTGAAATAGCAAGTTACCTCTTTAAAGTATTTCTAGGAATTAAAAATCTATATAACATATTTAGCACATAACATGGTTATTTCCTGTTCTCTGTTATAAACCTGTAGATCGAGACATAGAAAAGACTTCTTGCTCTTATGAAATGGTACAGCAGTATAAATAAGAGTATGAACTTACATGCGTAATCTGCAATCTCAGGTTTGGCATGAGAAACCTTGCTCAGCAGAGATGATTTTCCTGCATTTGGAAACCTAGAAGGAAAGACAGCATTTATATATTGAATAAACACTTCTCTGATACCTGTGTATTTTATTACCAAATACAATGTATTTCTTTATTCAGCCTCAATGTTATAGACTCATCTCCACAGAGAATTTTTCTGAACACAAATCATTATGATTTTTAATCAGTTCTAAACCACTTTTATAAATGTAACAATGCTTCACAGGGCTGCAGGCAGGCAAGGTACATAAGTACACTAACACATGGAATAGATTTGAGCTGAAATCTTTTAAAGTCACTTGGAAAGAAAAACAGCACGAGTATCCAGGCCTTCCTGTATTCATTCTCTATAGCTAATTTTCCAAATAAAAACATACCTGTGAAGCCCCAAAAGCTGGTTGGTGCAGTCCTGACTGTTGCAACTTTTTCCTTTTACAAGGAGCAGCTATACCTGCACACTACAACAAAGAAGTCCCTTAAGGGAAATGGTAGCTTTTACGTAAAGTTTTCCAGGGAATACATCTATCTGTTGAATTGGAAACTTAAGTTAAAACTGAAATTATAACACAAGCTTATTTTAAAGATTAAGCTGAGTTGTAAAAGACACAGGAGCCTTGACCAATAACAAACCTCAAGCTTCTGTTACAAGCAGAGTACAGACGATAGTCCTTATTTACAGCCATCTGTTGCAAACCAGAAATCATACAGGACTTCTGTTTAAGTCGAATTTACAGTCTGTTACTCAGCACAGCATTTCATTACAACAGCGATCAAAGAAATCCGTGTCAATAGGCAGCTGATTATTGGTCATAAGTTCCAAAGGCACGTGTCACTGAAAAGGCGACATACGCAAAAAGCTATACACTCTCCATGTCAACACATGCACAAAGAATAACTTGTTAACAGGGACAGCTAATGAGAACATAAGCTAATGAAAAACAAGATTAATCTTACATTAAGGGGCTTTATTCTTCATAAAGAAAGAGACATAATGGCTCTTTTTATAGCAAGAAAATTACTGAAGGTAGTTTTAACGCTCTCTGATGTTGAAAGGTGCCTTAAAGACGTTTCGGAAGGTTACTCTGGTCATCTCCTCAGGCAAGTATTTTGCTTCCAGTGAGGCACAATATGCTCTTTGAAGTTTAAATTGCAACCTACACTATACATCACAATCTGTACCCAGACCTGATGATCCTTTCTCAAGTCTACGTGTTTTTTGGCCTGATCTAATAGCACTTGTAAAGTGCTTGTAAAAGCACTTGTGAATCTACTGAAGTAAAAACAACAAACTCAGAGATCAAAGTACAGCTACAAAGTATCTGAGGTTGATTCATACTCTCAACAGGAAAATAAGATTCTCCTCCAATTAATGGATAATGACTTTTTCTATACTTTTTAAAGTGAAACTGTCAGCTAAAATACAAACTCAACTGCAGGATTAAAGAAGCAGTCATAAGCAGTTTTATGATGTGTCATAAAGCCTCTGTATTTTTCACAAACTCTAAAAGCAGAAAAATATTTTGCATCATATAACTATTGAAGACCTCTTGAAAATGATAGAATTGCAGATGATTCTGATATTAATAGAACTGTTGACTTATTTCTAACAAGCAAATAAGAAAATTCTAGCTAGCAAATCATGCTGTCTTCACATTTCCATGCTTTAAGGGTATACACCAATAAAGGTATATACCAGTAAGATTTTTTTTCCATCTAAAACTGCTTTTCTCATTTTACGCTTGTTAAGGTTTTTGTAAACAGGGATCACAGGGGAAAAGAAACATTAGTAGATGCTGAGTAAACCATTACTTTTGCAGTTTTAGTTTGTTAAAAGCTTTCTCCAAATAAATACGTTTATATGTTTTGCTATTAATCAGTAACACTGAAAAGCACCAGAGCAAAAGAAATGGAAGCTCTACAGCTCTAGTTAGCAATTACTTCCTTCCAATGTTCCATACTGTCTATTTGGGAGAACAGATTTCATGCCCTTTGAAATGTTCACTAAAACTACTACCAAAAAGATCTACTTGTGCCAGTAACATAAAGCAGGAGATGCAAAATGGATAGTGTCTTGGCTTCTTTCGCACCTCCTACTTACTTCATAAATTTTATCTAAACGTTGTGACCATCACTTTAATTGCTAAACTTAATTATATTAACTTATGACCCTGATGCAAGAAGCAGAACAAACCCACAAAAGTATAACCAATATTTGCCAAATTTTAAAATTGATTTTAATGGGTTTAAATTGTCCATGATTTTTGCAAACTGCAAGCATTTTAAGCAGTAAGGTAAACCTACACTGACACTCATTCACCAACTCTAGAATTTCTTTGCAAACTCATTTCAAACGTACTACTTTATTTTCTGACATCTCAGCTGTCAAACTGCACTACAGAACTATAGTACTTACCCAACTAAGCCAACATCTGCTATAAGTTTCAGATCGAGATGAACAATTCGCCTCTGACCCTTGCAAGGCAGAAAGTTTGTGGCCAAAGACCCTCCGAGACCTCCACGAGCTACTAGGCACCTTTCTCCTGCTGTATTAAGCTCTCCTGAAAATAAATTAACTAATGAAAAAGCATAATTTCCCACAATAATTTAGTTCTGATTTTCCCACTTAAATCTGTCTTTATTGAAAGGAGAATTTTCATCAAGCTTCCTTGCAAGAGCTGCGCACTGACGGAGTAACAGAGTTTCCGTCTTTGTTTAGAAACAAATGAGACCAAATATACACCAAATATTTCCCTTCTGTCATATAGGTATTAACGTCAAGAAGAACTGCTAAGTACAGGCAGGCAAAGTATGGCTAAGAGGACAGTTCTGAAGCCTCCAATACTTAGGAGCCCAAAGACAAATCTGTAAGTATTGATGAAGCTGTCGCTATAGCAGTTTTGATTAAAAAAGAAAAAAAGGATACTTTGAACCTAAGAACTACATACATGCTTTAAATACCAAACTCAGATGTTCCATACTTTTTCATGAAGATGCCTGCTATAGCATTTCCCTAAGGGTTAAAGTGTTAGAATAAGTTGCTTGAAAAAATAATTTTCTTTCTGCTGCATACAGCAATACAAATTAACTACCGCTAGTTTCTAAAAGGGGACCTTGCTTTTCCAGCTGTCCCCCCAGTGTAATTATTGTCAGTACTTGCTTGCCCAAGAAAAGCAAAAAGACACGTATATGTTTTTAGGACATATGTAATCTTAAAACATTCTACTTCAGAATGTTAGAAGTTTGCTAGATACCATTGATAAATATAATCACATCTACTAGATACATTAAAACAAAGCAAAAGTTCTTACCAATCTGCTTTCCATCATCACAAAGAACTGAAATCCCCAAAGGCACATGAACTTCACAGTCTTTTCCTTTTTCACCTTTTAATGCCCTAACACTGGGAGAAGTTAAACCAGGTTTAATAACTTAAGGTGGCATTTTGCTCTGTAGAAAAGAAACATGCAACAACCTTTATCAAATACATTCCTACCTGCTGTTGGCTCCTGCTCCAGCTACAAACCGCTTCTGGGGATATCTGTCTTTAATGCTCTTCAACGTCGTTCTTTCCTGAGCAACGAACCAGACATCGCCACCTCTCCCTCCTTCCCCACCTAGGCGAGGATAGCCCATTCCACCAGTCCCTCCTCGCACGTAGAGCCGTAAGTCATCTATAAAGCTGCAGTACTAACAAAAAACAAAACAAAAAACACGTTTCACATGCGCATTGCACTTTATTTATTAACTTTACTCATTCATTTTATACAGCCATCAGACACAAAGCAGTAAAAATTGCTTATATGGCACTTCTACACCGCAGCGCTGGCAAACAACAAGAAAAAATAAGCTCAGGAAACAGGCATGCAACGCTCCTGCTCATTTTTTTTTCCCTATGAGAAACGTAGGACGTTGCTTCCCTAGCAGCGAGCGGCACGGCGGGCCGCTCGGCGCTGCGCGCTCCCCGGCCCCGG